GACTAGTTTTGGGGTACATTTGAAAGCCCTTAATAAGGCATTTAAGGCAGCTTGGCTATCTGATAGTATAAAGATGTGTTTTCCTTTGAGGCTTTGGTTGAGACACTCTTGTCCACATATATTTATGGCAAGCAGTTCGGCTTGAAATATTGTAAGATGTTTGCCCAATGTCTTGGAAAGCTTGAAGTTAGGGCTGGAAATTCCCAGTCCAACTCCTTCCGTTTGTTTGGATCCATCTCATCTGTGTACCACAGAGATGCATTGTCTGCTTGTGGTAATTCTTCATTTTCCCATGATTGGCGCTCGTTTATTACCACTGCGAACGGGATCTCTAAGTCCAATCTGACCGTCATGTGGTCGCTTGGTTTTCTGGCATTCTCCAGTTTTATTATTTCAAAGATGCGCAGATGTCCCCTCAGATCACCAGGCTTGAAGTTTTCTGTTTGGAATAGCCTGTGAGCACTGATTATTGCCTTCTTTTTCACACATAGGTGAAGTGGAGGCATGATGAGCAGCGTCTGCGGTGGGGCGGGGCGACATTGCTCCCGTTATTCCTAGGCATATCAGCCTTTGTACCTTGTTTAGCTTGATCTGAGCGGTGACTTGCTCAGCTTTGGGCCACCATACCAATTTGGCGTAGGTATGTGACCATGGGCTTCATTATAATTTGGTAAATTCAGAATACCATCTTTGGCTTTAGCTCCCATGTTTAACCAACCAGTTCGCGGCATGACCAGATGGTTGATATAGCTTTAGAGCATGTTTTCTCTAACTGTTTGCTCCAAATGAGTGTTTGGTCAAAGGTGTCCCCCAAGTATGTATTTCACTTCGTTGGAAAATGTTATAGTGTTGTACCGTTAAGGGTGGGGGTTTTCAAATTTAGCTTCCTTCTTCTTGTGAACGGGACAAGAATTGTTTTGCTTGGGCCTAGGGATAATCCCTTGCCTTTTCTCCAATTTTTACCGATATGTTTAGAGCACTTTGCATTCGGCTTGTGATTACGCCTTCATGTTTGCCCTTGATTATAATGGCTAGGTCATCTACATAGCCTATATGACCTGGTATCCAGCACTACTCAGTCTGGTAAGGATTTTGTCCACCACTAGTGTCCATAATAGTGGAGGAAGAACACCCCTCTGACCGTGGTAGCGGTAGCTGATGCTCCGTCTATTTCAGCCGTAACGTAACGGTGTTTTAGCATCGACTCTATCCATTTTACAATCGGGACTTCAACATCTCATTCTTGTGAGGCTCTGGCGATTGATTAATGTGAGGTGTTGTCGAAGGCACCCTCTATGTCAATGAATGCTGTGACAACGATAATTACTGATAGAATGGAACCTAAGCTAGATTTCCACCAACCAATAGATCAAGCCGGATCTAGAAGCTTTGAAACAAATGACCACCTTAGTGATGAAATCCTTGATAGAGAAAGTTGTAGAATACACAAAACCATTGATATTTATAGTTGTGGACTTTGGGAAAGTTGACTCAGTCCAGCATAGCTGCATGTTAAAGGTTCTTACAGGAGTGCAGTATTGACCATAGGAATAGCTGCAGTCAGGATGTATCATGGCAACACCAACAGATTCCCCTTGGAGAAAGGTATTAGAAAAGGAGACCATCTCTCCTAAACTATTCACCTGCATTGATACAAAACTTCATAGAGGACAACAATTGGGAAAATATCGGAGTGAACATCAATGGAGAGTATCTAAACAATTTGCAGATGACATAGTCCTTATTGCAGACAGGGTAGATCATGCATCCCCGCTTTTCCAGGACTCCCAAATTCCTTGTGGACGAGTTGGTCCTAAAATCAATTTCTTCAAACACAATTCATGACTAACCTTGTACTGGCCAAAAACATTTCAACGTATAGCAAGCAAATAGAGCTAGTTGAAACCTATAAATATTCAGGCCACGAGACAACCAGGCCACAAAATTGTACAGGAGAATAGGATTAACATGGGCAGCCTACGGAAAACTGAGGGATGTCTTTAAATCAGATATTCCCATCTTGAAGAGGAAGGTCTTTCATCAATGTGTACTTCTAGTTCTAGCATATGGATTAGAAACATTGACTCTAACCAGAAAAGTTGTAAACAAAATCAAGTGGCACAGAGGACAATGGAAAGATCAATGTTGAAGCAAAGAGACAAAATTCCGAATCAGATCATCGAGGAAAGAACCGGGGTTACGGACGTAGTTGAAAAAATTACAACGCTGAAATGGAACTGGGCAGGTCATGTTGCCGTTAGTCAGAGATGTGTGAGATGGACTAGGAAGATACTAGAATGGAGATCTAGACACGATGCGTATCGCAACCGCGGACGTCTCCCAACAAGATGGTCGGACGATATTAAGCACATCCAGCCCAACTGAATACCTACTGAATGCAAAGTGCTCAAGACCGGAGGCAGTGGAATGATTTACAGGAGGCCTCTGTATGTCCAGCAGTGGACTCAAAACGGTTGACGATGATGATCAAAAGTCTCAAGGTTTTCAAAAAAAATAACTTAAACATGGATATTTCCTTAACATTGTTAGAATAATTCAAATATTCCTTCTAGCATAAATACATTTTTTTGGTTCTGGGCTGAGGAAATACTGGAACATTCCAATCGTGGCATTCATATGTAATATCTATGGATCTTCCTCTTTGGGAAGGTACAGGGTGATCCAGTATAAAGTGAACACCCCTTACCTTTTCGGTAAAAAAATTATTTTTGAAAAAATCAAGATAGCCATTTGGTGTATCTTTTTTCTAGGAATTCGAAAATATTTTTCGAAATTTATTAAGATTTTTCGTTGAAGCGTTGTGACCAAAAAAGTATTTTTTTTAAATGGAATAACCTATATTTAAATCAATTATTTGAACGCCCCTATTTTTCTCATTTCAAATATATAGTTTGTTTATCTTTTTTTTTAGTAATTTGCCATATATTCTCACTTTAAAATTCACATAAAAATAGCCGAAAAGGTATCATAAAACATAATAACCAGTAGTTTTATTAAAGGTAAAATTATTTAGATTTACCTTGATACCTTTTCGGCTATTTTTATTTGAATCTTGATTGAGAATATATCGCAAATTACTAAGATAAAGATAAACAAACTATATATATTTGAAAAGAGGAAAATAGGGTCGTTCAAAAAATGGATTCAAATATAGGTTATTCCATTTAAAAAAATTACTTTTTTGATCACAGCGCTTCAACGAAAAATCTAATTAAATTTCCAAAAACGTTTTCAAATTCCTAGAAAAAAAATACAACAAATGGCTATCTTGGTTTTTTCAAAAAAAAAATTTTAGCGAAAAGGTAGGGGGTGTTCACTTTATACTGGATCACCCTGTACATAATATCACATTATTTGGCGTAATTTATGGGTCCCTACTATAAATACAAAATCCAAAAATTATAAACAATAGATCAATGTTCGTCACAATGCTAGCCTTATGAAAATAGTTTTCCATGTGACCCACTGACACCCACGACAAAGAATAACAAATCGAAGATTAATTTTAGCCAAGACATATTATGTAGTAGGTATTAGACGACGATTATAGTTATTAATGATACAAGTTCGATATGAACGCGATAATGAAACGCGTGTAACGTTAAACCACGAGTTACACAAGTTTCATTAATAAAGTTCATATCGAACGTGTATCATTCAAAATTTAATCTACAATGGTCCAAATAGATTTGATTTGCCTTGAAATAGCAAAAACTTTTCAAATTAAAATTTGAAATTTAGCAGGTGCCCGTACTAGTCGAGAACCTGCTTGTTGGTTTTTAGAATTTTGACTTTGGCAGCTTCAATATTGGAGTCCATTTTTGTGCCATAAATTCAATTTTATAGTGGAAAATAATATTATTATTGGTGAATCTGAGTTCGAAAGTGTCTCTTCAAATATAGAGACAGCATTATTGAAAAGGTTGTTCTGGCAACTAACTTTCTTTTTGTATATTTTTCATTTCAAAATTTGGGTGTTATTATGAATTCTTAAACGCACTAGTGCTATTATGAAGGACCTAATGACATTCAAATGACAATGCTAAATGTGTCATAATGACACCGACGTAGATTAAAAACATAATAGCAGCTGAAAATACACTACTCGAAAATGTAATTAAAATTTATAGTTATGGGAAAACTTGGGAATCTGTTCCAGATTTACGCCGACGCTACGCCTTATGGCCAATGTTATTGATAGTCGAGTCGGTATACGGTAAATTTTGGTATACGTGACTAAGGACACATCTATACATCCTACCTATTAGGCGTTGAATAAATCTGATTTGATGGTTTTTGTGATGTTTTAGTATTACTTATTTATGGAAGTAGGTTAAGAGTCATTGATATATACATATATATGTTTGATGTGCGAAATAAAGTTTCAAGAAATTTTAAGCATTTAAAAAAATGTACGAACTAGGGGAAATAGACTGTGACTGTGACTTAAAAAGCATGTCAACACATTATGCCAGATTAACCTGGAACAAATTTGTGAGCAGTAAGAGGAAACTGTAATTAGCTCATTCAGATTTTTTCTTCTTTTATAAGTACCTAAAATTGGTTTCTGCTTCATAAACTTAAGGGATTAATAGGCATCTCGATTTGGAATATCTGGATACCATAAGATCTGGCGTTGGAAGAGATGCTTCGATTAATAGAATTTAAAATTTTTGGATGAGAATATATGAATTATGGATTTGAAATCGCGGTGGCAGAAATGAAGCAATGCTATATTTGAAAATTTGTTAAATAATTAAACCACCCTCTCATTTTAATAATCATAATATTATGAAACTTTTAGCACATTTTGAATAAATTAAACTTCAAGTTAAGAATTTCTTCAATGTTAAATTTGAATCAGGCGTCGCGACGCCTTTCGGCGTTTCTACCACCTACCGCCGTATGGAGGCGCCACCGACGTCCGCCCCACCGCCAACGGCGTCCGCCGTCCTGAACGACCTTGCAACGCCCTTGCGGCGAGAGTGTGGTGATAGTGGCCGCAGGAATCGGTCGTTTTGTGGTGCGTATATGTTCGCGTCGTCGTCTTTTTTGGTGTTCCAAGACGACCAATATTAGGGCAGCATCTCATCATCCAGGTTTGTTACAATATTTTTGTTTTGGTTTTATTTTTCAATTTTTTTCAAATTTTTGATTTGTTAAATGTGTTTTTTTGATCGGTATTTTTTTTTCTTAAAAGAACCGGCATCTTCAGTTCCGCAATTTTGTTTATGTGTTTTTAAGAAAAAAATATAAACAAATATTAGTTTATTTAAAGTAATCTTCGTTCAACTTCAATTTGAATTGGTGGTAGTTTTTCAAAAGATTTCATTCCTATGAAAATATTTACAAAAAGTTAGTTTGCCTAATATATTGTATGTTCATGTTCAGCGAACTACTTAGGTAAGCCAATTTTTTTATATTTTCTTCAACCCTATATATCTTCTCTCTTTTCTCTTGAAGAGTTTATTTCACTGAGAATTCATATATTTCCCATTTTTCACTAGAGCTCATATAGTAATAATGTACTTAGTTAATAACATTTAAATTTATTTTGTTTGTTTTAGTGTTTTAGTTAGTTTTCTGTTTCTATTTTCTCACTGCAATACTTTCATTCTTAATACACAAGATCATTATAACGTTGTTCTGATTTTATTAATTTTTTATATTGCTTTTATTTTCGATATTCTTTTGAAATGTTTTTTTTTTTTGTTCCATCTATTTGTTTCTCCTTTAACAAACCCCAACCCAACTAACATTTGAACTAACCCAAACCCGTTTATCATTTCGGAAAACAAAATTCTGTAATACTTTTTAATTTTCACAGAAACAATGTTATCTATTTATTACGCCGATTTATTAATTTAAAATGTGGTATTTCTAACTCCGCTTATTTATTAGACATGAAAAGGAAACCTATTTTTGAAATTATCACATAAACGCTAATACATAAGTATAAAGTAATTTTGCCTCAATTTGAATAGAAAGGAGATAAAAAGAAAACAAAAAAGTTCATTGCTGCTACAGTAGCAAATTTTCTTGTAAATTTATTTCGTTTTCATCCTTACACTTAGGTACTTGATTGATAACATAAATTATTCGCTTGTAATATTTTTATCTCCACTTATCTATCGCTTTTTTATTAGGTATACATAATTTGTTTTACTTTATCTAAATATACGAAATGTTTGTAAATACTTTTAATTTTTTAATGAATGCCTAGGTATTATGTCTGTTAGATTGTATGTCCAATTTAATGCATACCTAAAAGCCTAATAAGAACACATAAATAATTTAAAACAGATAACCTCAAACGATAAAAAAAAAATGTCAACATAACTGACCTATTCTTAACTGTGAACCGACATAAACAATTTATTCATGTCACCTTGTTACAAAATCTAAATTTAACACCAATTAGAGAATAAATAACATGGTGTAAAATGATAACAAATTGGGTTTAAAAAGTACCTAATTTTAGAATCTTGGTGTAAGCTTTCACATTTTTAATGTTCGTTTAATAGTTATGTATTTTATTAGGCAAAGAAACTAAGTCTTTTTGTGCTGAGCTCAAAGTACCACTAGCAGAGCGCCGCGTTTCTAATAATTTCAAATTTTGTATTGAAACTTCCTCGAATTCATTCAAACTTTGCTGGACTTCCTCAGAACTTGTGTCCTTCCTTCCTTTCCTTTAAAGCCGTTCTCTATCCTCTGAATATAGGCCTCTCTCAATGCCAGGTATTTCTATTCTGTGCGACCTGGTACCACTTTAGTCCTGCTGTTTGCTTGATATTCACTTACCAGCGTTGTTGTTACTTGTTACTTTTCCGCTCCAGTTGTTGTATGTTCGACCTTTGGTGTAGGTATTTCTTATCCACTCGTTTGTCGTTGGTCTTGTGATCCCTTAGTATAAATACTTATCATTCTCCTTTCAATTGCTCTCTGATGTACTTGCATAACTTATTTAGGATTTTCTTTGTGAGAGTCCATGTTTTGCTTCCCAGGCAACTACTGGCAGATACATTCCACTTCGAAGGTAATTTGGACCGGAATAGGTGGCGCATTTTACCATACGCGGCCCATACCAGTCGTATTCTATTAATTTCAAGCTCTTGATTAACTTTTCCAAGCATTATTTCGTGTCCTTGATACTTGTAGGAGCTTACTTTTTTTACCTGTTGGGTTTCTCTGGTTATTGTGTCCCTATCTGTTTGCTCATTTGTCATAAAATCTGTTTTTAATATATTTATCTCTAATCTGATCTTCTTGGCTTCTTTCAGTAAATCTTTCAGCATGATTTCTAATGCCCGTATCCACCAATGTCAAAAAACAACAGTTATTTTTTAATTGTTTTAGAAGGTATTCTCCTGCCTCCTTTAGGATTTCTGGTAGTATACCGTCCATTTCTGAGGCTTTTCCGTTGTTTAATTGGCTTAGCACTTTTGCAATTTCTTCCTACTCTATATCAGGGATCTCTTCTGACAACGTTATTCTCGTTGTTGCTTTTTGCGTCATATATATCTTTAAAGGGATTTTGTTATTTCTCTTTTGTGTGCGTTCTGCCTTTTAAAAATGTTCAAGCCTTTTTGTTGTTCTATCAGTTTTTTGATTTGTGCTTCTTGAGAGTTTTTAATGTCTTGTTTTGTCATTCTTCTGGCTACTTTGTTAGTCTCCCTCTATTCTGGTATATCTTTTTTTTCTTGTTTTCTGATTTCTCTTTTCTTCTCCAGCATTGGTTTTGTTTCTTCTGACCTACCCTTTAGTTTCATGATATTTTTTGCTGCTTCTTTCATGGTTTTTCTTAGTCTCTTATTAATTTGATTTATGTCTTCGTGCGGTTTATGGGGTATTTCTCCAGTTTTTGTGGTAATTTTTCTGCAAATTCTGTTTTTTTTTTTTTGTTTTACTGGTATGTGTGCTTATTTTCTTTCGGGGGTGGTTGAATTTCTCTCTTCTTCCTAGTCTGACGGACTTGTGTTGGTACTTTGAATTTCTACGGATTTCTTCACACTTCGCTTGGTTTCTCTCCACTTCCTTCGATATAAGAGGTAAAAGCTTTCCAAATAAAACTTGAAATTATTTTGCTCTTTGTCGGGAAATATCCCAGATAGGGCTCAGATGTAAGTTCTAAAAATTATTAAATTTTCACTCATGTGAAAAGCTATTTTTTTCACAGTTTAATCTATAAAATATATAAATAAATAAATTAATGTTTATTAACAGACCAGCCATTTACAGAAATTGGACTAATACTAAAAATAAGCACTAAATATACAATAGTCGTACAATATAGCATATAGACATATCAGTTAAATCAATTAAAAACGCTTATAGTCCTCAACATTACACTAACACAGATTCATAAATTAGAGATGTGAAAAAAATATAAGTTATAAGAATAAAATTCGACTCTGTGGCACCTCAAGTTCCATCAAAGATAGCAATTCTGGACAGTCTATATATACATTTAAGATTCTATACTTATAGGGTTCTTATATCAATATATTTTCTCCTATTGCTGAGAGTTGTAAGATTAAGAGAGTGAAGTATTTCTTCATATACAATATCCTCACTTGGTTTACCCAATTTAAACCCAACAAATTTCACAAACCTCTTTTGTACTTTTTCAATCTGTTGAACCTACTATAGTAAGGAGACCAAACCTGGCAAGCATATTCCAAAACTGACCTAATGTAAGAGCAAAATAGAGTTCTAAAGCAATCAATACTACTAAAGTCTTGCAGAGTTCTTTTAACAAAACCTAGCAATTTTAATGCTTTATTGGTTATATAGTTAACCTATAAAACCTTAAAATAAAACATCTACCGACATTTAATGTCATACCATTTTTATTGCACCATTCACTCAAAGATTTAAGTCTTCTTGGATTTTCAAACAATCACTCAAATCTTCAATAACTTTGAAAATCTTTATATAGGTCGTCTGCATACAAAAGTACATTTAAAATATCTCAAGCACTCTGTTACATCATTGATAAAAATATTAAATAAAAGTGGACCTGAATAGGAACCTTGCGGAACACCAGAGGGGACCAATATCTATTCAGAAACAAAATTGCCTATTTCCACCTGTTTTCTATTGGTCAGATAACTATGAAACCATTGCAGGAGACTGCCAAACACAAGCTTTTCCAAAAGCAGAGTGTGGCTAACCTTGTCGAAAGCCTTTGAAAAGTCTGTGTTGATGTCATTCACCTGGATTTGGTTTTCATTTAAAATTGATTGTAGTGCAGTCATGATTTTAAAATCTATAATTATCTCAAAAACTTTTGCTATTAAAGACATTTTGCTTATTGCCCTGTAGTTTGTAACATCACTTTTTTCGCTACTTTTAAATATAGGAGTTATACGAATGACTTTTTTCAGACATCTGGATAGATACCAGTGAACAATAACTTAGTAAAAATAATGTTTAAAATTAAGGTCAAAATACATGCGCAATTATTCAGAAATATCACAGATATATTATCAGGCCCAGCAGATAAATGGTCTCTAGGCTAAGAATTGCATTGTAGACAGGGGCGGATTAAGCCTTTTTTCGCCCCTGGGCATTTGAAATTATTTCGCCCCCTTCCAGGCTCTGGCCTATATCATAATTTTTTATTTTGTCATTTGAAGATTCTTCAATACAATAAAGGCAAATACTTAGTATATTGAATTAAAAATGGCATGAGACAAATTGATTAGTGCCGAGTCTGAAGTCACTTGTCTTTTCATCTGAAAGTGTGTTTCTAAGATAGTCTTTATTCCTCCTTAGGTTGGAAAAGGACTTCTTTCCAGACGCGTTAGTCGATGGAAGGCAAACATACATTCTCAATGGTACCTCGATACTGGGAAATGTCGAGATTAGTTTTTCAGACTGTAAAATTTGTAGAAGCTCTCCCAAATTTAAGGTGCCATATCGTGACCACTAGAAATCAGAAAAACGGTTCAACACAATCGCACAGTTTATTATTGAAGTTTGTGATAGCCGAGCCATTGTCATTTTGTTGATTGATAAACTGTGCGATTGTTTTGAACCGTTCTAAAACCGTCCTTTTTTCAAACCCGAATAAAGTTATCATGACAAATTTATACAA